CCTCTTAGTCGACGTTCGACAATCAGTACCAAACAAAACGGTGAAGTACTGCGTCGCAGCCTTCAAAATCCCAGGTGAGTCAGTGATCGTGGAGCCACCAACAACCAGCTCCGCTATATGAGTTTTCTACTTCCTGACCTTGACCCGTGGCGATAGGAAAGGAGAAGAAACCTCCCCAGCCAACTCCGCATTTGCCCCCGTCATCACATGAAGCCTGTCCCTTCTTGACGCGTGATATTCCTTCAGCTGCGTGTCCCTGATATGCAGCAAATCCCGCGTCTTCTGACACCCGGGATTTCTCATCTGCTCCTGATGAAGCTCCGCCACCACTTCTGCCAGATGAGCCGTTGTTTTCTTAACCCTCTTGTTTTCCTCCTTCATGTATGAGCGCAGCCCAGCATTGAGTCTCCCCAGAAATAACGCGAAATTACCTTCTCCCTCTGTAGCCGCCTTTGCCAGGGCAGCTTCAACCGCTTTCCGAATCCCAGGCCTGCCTAGCGCCGCTGCGTGCAGCCTCCAGATGCCAGGGCCCAGGTGAGTCGAGGCTTTGATCTTTAGGGCTATCTTGATTCCGAAACCGTGGTCTGAAATATACTCTTATGGTCTTATGTGCGCAGCTATGTCAAGGTGCGGCAAGAGCGAGCATGAGACGAGTGCGCGGTCAATGCGTGAGCTGGATTGCTTAGAAGCGGCGTAGAATGTGTATTCTCTGAGCTTAGGATGCAGCGTGCGAAAGGCGTCTGAGAGCTGAAATCGACTACAGCGTGAGATGAGTCTGTCATTTTCTAGAGATGTGCCTGATTGAGATGTACGATCTAATATTGGGTCTTCTACCGTGTTCAGGTCGCCTATGAGGACTACATGATCAGTGGTGGGGATCTGGTCGAAAGCTGGGCCGACTACGTTCATCAGGAAGGAGCATCTATCTGTCGCGTCTTCAGGGAAGTAAGCGGCGATAAGGGTGAGGGTAAAGCCGAAGCGGCTGGCAGCGGCTACGAACAGTCTACCTGACGGGTGAGCAATAGTGTTTGTGAAAAGAACAGTAGGGTCTCTTGTGAGGATAGCGACGCCTGCGGCCTTCTCAGTGGGTGGGGTTGTTAAAACTGTGGTGAAAGCTGAAGATTTCCAGTATGAGTGGTCATCGGGTAGTCTCGTGTCTGTGAGAATAATGATATCTGCTGCTGTTCTGGTCCAAGTTGTAACTCTATCTTGCTTTGTTCTGTCACCCAGGCCGTTAACGTTAAGGCCCGCTAAGGAGATAAAATTTTTGTTACTCATTTGTGTTAGAATTTGAGATGATTGAATAGGATCGTAATACTTAGGATGGTAGCTTCCTGTCGTAGCGGAAGTCTTGTATGATTTAAAGCCAGTTAAGGAGGCTTTTGTCTGGACTATTAAAAGCCCATGTAGTGATATGTTTCAGGATCAATGTCTCTGAAATCAGATATATTATAAAATGACAAGCATACAGAATATATAGCTAGAGTAAAGTATCTGTTCGCCTACTGTACTGTGCTATTCCTGTTCTGAAAAGGTACGTAATTTTTCGCGAGGTCTATAGCTACGTGCTGACATCATCCTAGGGCGCGTAGCGCTTTGGTGACGTCAGTCTATCGGTACTTTACTGTACTACACGAATTTCCTTGAAGTGCTTAAGTCTCGATATTATCTCAACAATTTGATCACTGGTTGGCAGGCCTTGTACATCCACAGGCTGAAGATGGTGACTTCATTGACTACTGCACTCCACCCAACGATCGCTAACAGCACGCGGTTCTCAGTATGCAGACTCCGAAATTGTAATATTTCTTCAGGCCGGCAAGGTTGGTCTTGTCCATTGAGACCTTTGTAGCAGTACCCTGCTTCTCCTGGTTCAGCAGGTGAGTCGCAGAAATGATGTGAACCGCAGCAGCCAAGAAGGTTTTCCCTTTCGCCTTCCCGCAGCACACTTGCGTGCAAATCCACTCTTCGCGATTGCTGCCGGTCGAGACAAGAGCGATGGAAGGGTCTTTCATGATGGGAGTGACCAAGGCGGAGGTGCACAGGGAGGCAGCTGCGAGCGCAACAGAAATCGTCAGTGAGTGTTGGAAAAGGTAAAGCTGTAAAGTCGTGAAAATGACCGATGCAGTTACCATTGATGCTATGAGCCTTTCCCAGGGTAAGGTTCCACTTCCCTATATTGTTCTGCCGCTCTGTGATGAACAGATCATGATAGATGTCATAATGCTGTCCACCCCAGAGCTGGCAGGGCAGTGCAGGGCAATGGACCAACAACTTCTCTCCAGGTCCCATCGGGTTGTCAACTACATGACACCAGCGGTACCGATCTCCGGGGTGCTGAACAACCAAGCCTTTAATCATGTCGGTGTCAGCTCCGGTAAGTGGATGAACCACACGGTGGAAAGCGAAACCTTCCTTGAAGGCCGACTGCTTGAGCATCTTCAGCGTGAAACGAACAAGCAGGTTCTTCAGCACATCCGGGACAATGTTAGCTGGAACTCGACGGAAAATCACTTCAACAGCAAGAGGGTGAGCAGCCTTTTCCTTAAGGTAAGAAGCATCCTCCGTATGCTGCCAGATGCATTTGATCGATGGAGCATTTGCCTTCTGGTACTCGAAGACGTGAGACTTAATGTGATGAGCATCTCGTTCGACCAGAAAGGAGATATGGAGCCGGCAAAACCGCGTCTTCGCCACGTAACCAGGTACCATTTCTTGAATGTTAGCCGTGACACCAGCATTCTCAGTCAAGGACGAGCTCCAAACCTTCGTCATCAGGAGGCGAACGGCCACGATGATGGCTTTAATCTCCTGAGAAAGCACCATCGGAATGAGTAAGATTGCCGTATAACGAAGACGGATGCATCCTCTTTTGCAATGTCGATCTCCGGCTCTTCATCCGAATCATCCTCCAGAAACTCATCAGCCACCGACGTAGGAGCTTGGTTGTCCTGACTCTTCTTATCCACCGTCAGGCCAGAACTTCCCGCGACAGCAGCAGCAATGGTCGATGCCGTGCCGTTTGCAGTGACATTGTCCGTGGTCGTGGACAAGTTAACCGTGTCAACTGATCCATGCGTCTCAGTCCCAACCCCAGCAGGAGCCGGCGTAACGATCGGGTCCGTCAGGAGGTCGTCCGGGAGCGTGACATCCGCAGTGGCCTTCGTCGTACGTTTCGGAGGCATGGTGTGAAGATGACACACAGAAAGCAGCCAATGTGAATCCGACTGAGAAGCTTGTGAAACTGATGCTGCTTGCAGACTGAGCACCACCTCCTTATAACATGCCATTTACGCCAGGGACTTGCATTCCTGAAGGAAATGTACTCCCGAGGTCTTCGCCTTGGGATCATGCCTTGGTGTTTGATCAGATATGAAGTTAAACCAAAAGCTGCTTAGGATAGAATAGTGTTGTTGAACAGAAATCTGAAGGCCCAGAAAACTGCCGACAGAATCAAGAGGCGCTGGAGATTGGCTAGCTTGAAATATGCTTGGTGGTGTGCAGGCATAAGAAATGTTGGTGGGCATGCTAGGTGGTTCATCATCCCATCCAGTCGTGTTCGAGGCAGGGCTGACGTTTCAGATGTTTTTGTGGGAGAGCCGTGTTGTGTGTGTGGTGCAAACTCAGATTCAATGCTACCTCTACGATAACCTGAAACATCCGTGTGCCGTAAGAACAGATGCCGAGCTTTAGACCCCCCTGAAAACGTGTGTTTCCCTTAGTCGTGAACGTAGCTCCTGAAAAACAAACCCCCCCGCAACTCTGACGATACCCCAACGTGACTTTCTGAAGCACCAATTTCTGAGATGTCGTGTACTGCAACCCCGGCATCCACGCCCTTCTCGCTCCTTGTCCCGCCATCCGTTCGACACTGCTCCGTTCAATCGGTCGTGCCTGCGTTACTCCATAACCCTGTTCTTCGCCAGCCAGCCGCAAGCCTTGACTCTCCTCAGCCTCACCCCTCACCCGCGTCTTCCAGCTTTCCTTCTCGTCTATCCCCTTCCTGTACTCCCTCTGTCCGTGCTTCATCACTTCATGGAAACCCACCGAACCTAACGCCACTGTATCGACTCAGTAGGCTCGAGGCATCCGAACGTGCAGTGGCCGTGTATCATGAAACCAATGCGTCTGCCAGGTCAGCACGGTTGGATTTCAATACCACTGGATTGAGAAGCGATCTACCTGAGGGCTCAAGGGAAGAGAGATTCGTCAGGAGTTCGGAGAGTAGATCGGTAGAGTACGATAGCAGCGATGACCAGGAGATACAGTTCGCGGGTGCCCTCAGCGATAGTGCTTGCAGCAACGGTGATTATACCAGCGAGAGTGATAATGACACGATCCAGGATACGGCTGTCGGGGTTTACGCAGAGAAACTAGTCTGCTTGGTCAGACCTGAGGCCCCTCTAATTGCGAATCTGCAAAAAGGAGACGGAGATTCCAGTTCTTCTCTCACGAGCCCAGAGCGTCCGATAGCATCAACGCGCGGCTCTCAAAGAGCAGCAGCGGGAGCGCCAGCAATTGCAGCAGCATCTGAAACAAGAGGATCTGATAAGCTTATGGCAATCCGACGGCCTAGATTGCTCCGTCCAGTGCCTGTATCTGCATCTGTCGAATTGAAGGCCAAAGGCTTTCAAGATACGCGGGTGTTTCGCAGAAAAGGGCGCATTTCGCAGAAACAATCAGACCAATCAGCGACGTCCTCAGCAGCAACACCAACACCAGCCACACCACCACCAACCCCATCGTTACAAGCAGCCAAACCAGCACGACCGCCATCAGCGATACCCCCGTCCCCTCCCTCCTCTTCCTTTACCTCCTCCTCCTCCTCCTCCTCCTCCTCCTCCTCCTCCTCCTCCTCCTCCTCCTCCTCCTCCTCCTCCTCCTCCTCCTCCTCCTCCTCCTCCTCCTCCTCGTCCACCCCCCCTACCCCTCGCCCCCTGCAGTCGACAGTGTGGGTGAACAAGGCAGCGCCCAGAGCCCCCCGTCACAGAGCAGACAGGATGGCGAACCGAAGCCCCATCAGCGACCGCGTGCTACAGGCGATTGTGACTATACAGAGGGCCAGGCGAGTGGCTGGAGAAGGCGCCAGGGGAGGCCAGGGAGGTATAAGGGGTGTAGAGAGTCAGCAAGGTCAAGCAAGTCAACGGAGCCATGGTGGAGGGGAGGATGGGAGGGTGCGTGGCGGGGGGGGGTCGCTGAAGGCCGTGGTGGCAGAGGTGGCGGGGGCGCTGGAGAAGCGCGAGGTGGAGGAGCTTATGACGGAGCTGCAGCGACGCCACGACTGGAAGGCCACCCTCGAGGTGACGTGACGCACACTGTTGGGGCGTCTCCTCTCCTCTAGTTCAATCTCGCTGCTCCAATGAGAATGACGGTCAGCGCGTAACCGCAGCAAACCCTGCCCGTTTCCTCCGCTCCCCATCCTTTCTCCTTCCGAAGGCGCATCTCTATCGTGGGCTTCTTAGCCACCCAGTGGCGTCTCCTTTATCCTCACCTCCTCCCCTTCCTCCCCGCCCTCCGACCCTCTCCGATCCGGCAGGTGTTCGCGTGGAGCCAGCAGCAGGTGTGGTTCCGGCCCAACATGCGGCTGTACAACACGCTGATGGGCTTCCTGGCGAGGGAGCAGCAGGCGCACGCCGCCACGCTGCTCTTCCAGGACATGCTGCTGTCGCGCGCGCGCCCCAACCACTTCACGTACACCGCACTCATCAACGCGTACGGTCGCGCCGGGTGGTTCGAGGACGCCCTCGCTGTGTTCCACCACATGAAGACGTGCGATGATGATGACTGCCGGTGAGGGGAAGGCACTGGGGGTTGTCTGAGAATTCTAAAAAAACGGACGCCCTCGCTGTGTTCCACCACATGAAGACGTGCGATGATGATGACTGACGGTGAGGGGAAGGGGGACCAATGAGGGTTACCACCACGGTGTGCCATGCCATGCCTCTTCACATCCAACCCCTTCCCCAAACCACCTGTGCAACTCACTGTAAAACCTCTCGACCCGTTGCCACCATTCTGCCATCCCACCCGCCCAGGCCCAACACAGTGACGTGTAACGCGCTGATTGGTGCGCTGTGCAAGGGGGGCATGTATGACGAGGCGGTGGAGGTGTTCATGGACATGCGTGCGGGGGCGGGCGGGGCGGGCGGCCTGCCACTCAACTGCAGGTCAGCCGTGCCGTGCCGTGCCGTGCTGGGCCCACAGTGGGTGGGTACCAGCAGAAATACCATTGTGGGCGTGTACGCTTATGCAGGGAGAGAAGGTGCAGTGCAGGCAGCTACAGCCCTTATGCCCTGTGAGCACGTTAATTGTTAGAGAAAGACACCCTTCACGCTTAGGGTGACAGCGAGACAAGTGCAGTTCTGGCAGAGAGTGAAGAGTACACTTGTTCTCAGAGGAAAATGATTCCTTGCATATCTCAGCTTCTCGCTCCTTCCTCTTACAAAATGGCATACAACACGCTCATGTGCGGGTTTGGGGTTTCTCAATGCTTCTCATTTGTTTGAACTTCCCTCTACCCCTCTCATCCCCCTCGCCACCCACATCTCTCCCCCCCAGGCCCAACATAGTGACATACAACACGCTCATCGACACCTTGTGCCGGGAAGGCCAGCTCGATGCCGCTCTGCAGGTGGGTATGCCGCACGACCATGGTATGCTGCACGAGCACCACGGTATGCTGCACGACCACAGTATGCCGCACGACCACAGTATGCCGCACGACCACGGTATGCTGCACGACCACGGTATGCTGCACGACCACGGTATGCTGCACGACCACGGTATGCTGGTGTGAATGCGGTTTGCTGGTGTGAATGCGGTTTGCTGGTGTGAATACGGTATGCTGGTGTGAATGCGGTTTGCTGGTGTGAATACGGTTTGCTGGTGTGAATACGGTATGCTGGTGTGAATACGGTATGCTGGTGTGAATACGGTTTGCTGGTGTGAATACGGTTTGCTGGTGTGAATACGGTTTGCTGGTGTGAATACGGTTTGCTGGTGTGAATACGGTTTGCTGGTGTGAATACGGTTTGCTGGTGTGAATACGGTTTGCTGGTGTGAATACGGTTTGCTGGTGTGAATACGGTTTGCTGGTGTGAATTCGGTTTGCTGGTGTGAATACGGTTTGCTGGTGTGAATGCGGTTTGCTGGTGTGAATACGGTTTGCTGGTGTGAATACGGTTTGCCGGTGTGAATACGGTTTGCCGGTGTGAATACGGTTTGCCGGTGTGAATACGGTTTGCTGGTGTGAATACGGTTTGCTGGTGTGAATACGGTTTGCCGGTGTGAATGCGGTTTGCTGGTGTGAATACGGTTTGCTGGTGTGAATGCGGTTTGCTGGTGTGAATACGGTTTGCTGGTGTGAATACGGTTTGCTGGTGTGAATACGGTTTGCTGGTGTGAATGCGGTTTGCTGGTGTGAATGCGGTTTGCTGGTGTGAATACGGTTTGCTGGTGTGAATACGGTTTGCTGGTGTGAATACGGTTTGCTGGTGTGAATACGGTTTGCTGGTGTGAATACGGTTTGCTGGTGTGAATACGGTTTGCTGGTGTGAATGCGGTTTGCTGGTGTGAATACGGTTTGCCGGTGTGAATGCGGTTTGCTGGTGTGAATACGGTTTGCTGGTGTGAATACGGTTTGCTGGTGTGAATGCGGTTTGCTGGTGTGAATGCGGTTTGCTGGTGTGAATACGGTTTGCTGGTGTGAATGCGGTTTGCTGGTGTGAATACGGTTTGCTGGTGTGAATTCGGTTTGCTGGTGTGAATTCGGTTTGCTGGTGTGAATTCGGTTTGCTGGTGTGAATACGGTTTGCTGGTGTGAATTCGGTTTGCTGGTGTGAATACGGTTTGCTGGTGTGAATACGGTTTGCTGTTGTGAATACGGTTTGCTGGTGTGAATACGGTTTGCTGGTGTGAATACGGTTTGCTGGTGTGAATGCGGTTTGCTGGTGTGAATGCGGTTTGCTGGTGTGAATACGGTTTGCTGGTGTGAATACGGTTTGCTGGTGTGAATGCGGTTTGCTGGTGTGAATGCGGTTTGCTGGTGTGAATGCGGTTTGCTGGTGTGAATGCGGTTTGCTGGTGTGAATACGGTTTGCTGGTGTGAATACGGTTTGCTGGTGTGAATACGGTTTGCTGGTGTGAATACGGTTTGCTGGTGTGAATACGGTTTGCTGGTGTGAATACGGTTTGCTGGTGTGAATGCGGTTTGCTGGTGTGAATACGGTTTGCCGGTGTGAATACGGTTTGCCGGTGTGAATGCGGTTTGCTGGTGTGAATACGGTTTGCTGGTGTGAATACGGTTTGCTGGTGTGAATACGGTTTGCTGGTGTGAATGCGGTTTGCTGGTGTGAATACGGTTTGCTGGTGTGAATACGGTTTGCTGGTGTGAATACGGTTTGCTGGTGTGAATGCGGTTTGCTGGTGTGAATGCGGTTTGCTGGTGTGAATACGGTTTGCTGGTGTGAATGCGGTTTGCTGGTGTGAATACGGTTTGCTGGTGTGAATACGGTTTGCTGGTGTGAATTCGGTTTGCTGGTGTGAATACGGTTTGCTGGTGTGAATACGGTTTGCTGGTGTGAATACGGTTTGCTGGTGTGAATACGGTTTGCTGGTGTGAATACGGTTTGCTGGTGTGAATACGGTTTGCTGGTGTGAATACGGTTTGCTGGTGTGAATACGGTTTGCTGGTGTGAATACGGTTTGCTGGTGTGAATGCGGTTTGCTGGTGTGAATGCGGTTTGCTGGTGTGAATACGGTTTGCTGGTGTGAATACGGTTTGCTGGTGTGAATACGGTTTGCTGGTGTGAATACGGTTTGCTGGTGTGAATACGGTTTGCTGGTGTGAATACGGTTTGCTGGTGTGAATGCGGTTTGCTGGTGTGAATACGGTTTGCCGGTGTGAATGCGGTTTGCCGGTGTGAATACGGTTTGCTGGTGTGAATACGGTTTGCTGGTGTGAATGCGGTTTGCTGGTGTGAATGCGGTTTGCTGGTGTGAATAGGGTTTGCTGGTGTGAATACGGTTTGCTGGTGTGAATGCGGTTTGCTGGTGTGAATACGGTTTGCTGGTGTGAATACGGTTTGCTGGTGTGAATTCGGTTTGCTGGTGTGAATACGGTTTGCTGGTGTGAATACGGTTTGCTGGTGTGAATACGGTTTGCTGGTGTGAATACGGTTTGCTGGTGTGAATACGGTTTGCTGGTGTGAATACGGTTTGCTGTTGTGAATACGGTTTGCTGGTGTGAATACGGTTTGCTGGTGTGAATGCGGTTTGCTGGTGTGAATGCGGTTTGCTGGTGTGAATACGGTTTGCTGGTGTGAATGCGGTTTGCTGGTGTGAATACGGTTTGCTGGTGTGAATACGGTTTGCTGGTGTGAATACGGTTTGCTGGTGTGAATGCGGTTTGCTGGTGTGAATGCGGTTTGCTGGTGTGAATGCGGTTTGCTGGTGTGAATACGGTTTGCTGGTGTGAATACGGTTTGCTGGTGTGAATGCGGTTTGCTGGTGTGAATGCGGTTTGCTGGTGTGAATGCGGTTTGCTGGTGTGAATGCGGTTTGCTGGTGTGAATACGGTTTGCTGGTGTGAATGCGGTTTGCTGGTGTGAATACGGTTTGCTGGTGTGAATACGGTTTGCTGGTGTGAATACGGTTTGCTGGTGTGAATACGGTTTGCTGGTGTGAATACGGTTTGCTGGTGTGAATACGGTTTGCTGGTGTGAATACGGTTTGCTGGTGTGAATACGGTTTGCTGGTGTGAATACGGTTTGCTGGTGTGAATACGGTTTGCTGGTGTGAATACGGTTTGCTGGTGTGAATGCGGTTTGCTGGTGTGAATATGGTTTGCTGGTGTGAATACGGTTTGCTGGTGTGAATGCGGTTTGCTGGTGTGAATACGGTTTGCTGGTGTGAATTCGGTTTGCTGGTGTGAATTCGGTTTGCTGGTGTGAATACGGTTTGCTGGTGTGATCACGGTTTGCTGGTGTGATCACGGTTTGCTGGTGTGATCACGGTTTGCTGGTGTGAATACGGTTTGCTGGTGTGAATACGGTTTGCTGGTGTGAATACGGTTTGCTGGTGTGAATGCGGTTTGCTGGTGTGAATACGGTTTGCTGGTGTGAATACGGTTTGCTGGTGTGAATGCGGTTTGCTGGTGTGAATGCGGTTTGCTGGTGTGAATACGGTTTGCTGGTGTGAATACGGTTTGCTGGTGTGAATACGGTTTGCTGGTGTGAATACGGTTTGCTGGTGTGAATGCGGTTTGCTGGTGTGAATGCGGTTTGCTGGTGTGAATACGGTTTGCTGGTGTGAATACGGTTTGCTGGTGTGAATACGGTTTGCTGGTGTGAATGCGGTTTGCTGGTGTGAATACGGTTTGCTGGTGTGAATACGGTTTGCTGTTGTGAATACGGTTTGCTGGTGTGAATGCGGTTTGCTGGTGTGAATGCGGTTTGCTGGTGTGAATGCGGTTTGCTGGTGTGAATGCGGTTTGCTGGTGTGAATGCGGTTTGCTGGTGTGAATACGGTTTGCTGGTGTGAATACGGTTTGCTGGTGTGAATGCGGTTTGCTGGTGTGAATGCGGTTTGCTGGTGTGAATGCGGTTTGCTGGTGTGAATACGGTTTGCTGGTGTGAATACGGTTTGCTGGTGTGAATACGGTTTGCTGGTGTGAATACGGTTTGCTGGTGTGAATACGGTTTGCTGGTGTGAATACGGTTTGCTGGTGTGAATGCGGTTTGCTGGTGTGAATACGGTTTGCCGGTGTGAATGCGGTTTGCTGGTGTGAATACGGTTTGCTGGTGTGAATACGGTTTGCTGGTGTGAATGCGGTTTGCTGGTGTGAATGCGGTTTGCTGGTGTGAATATGGTTTGCTGGTGTGAATACGGTTTGCTGGTGTGAATGCGGTTTGCTGGTGTGAATACGGTTTGCTGGTGTGAATACGGTTTGCTGGTGTGAATTCGGTTTGCTGGTGTGAATACGGTTTGCTGGTGTGAATACGGTTTGCTGGTGTGAATACGGTTTGCTGGTGTGAATACGGTTTGCTGGTGTGAATACGGTTTGCTGGTGTGAATACGGTTTGCTGGTGTGAATACGGTTTGCTGTTGTGAATACGGTTTGCTGGTGTGAATACGGTTTGCTGGTGTGAATGCGGTTTGCTGGTGTGAATGCGGTTTGCTGGTGTGAATACGGTTTGCTGGTGTGAATACGGTTTGCTGGTGTGAATACGGTTTGCTGGTGTGAATACGGTTTGCTGGTGTGAATACGGTTTGCTGGTGTGAATACGGTTTGCTGGTGTGAATACGGTTTGCTGGTGTGAATACGGTTTGCTGGTGTGAATACGGTTTGCTGGTGTGAATACGGTTTGCTGGTGTGAATACGGTTTGCTGGTGTGAATACGGTTTGCTGGTGTGAATACGGTTTGCTGGTGTGAATACGGTTTGCTGGTGTGAATACGGTTTGCTGTTGTGAATACGGTTTGCTGGTGTGAATACGGTTTGCTGGTGTGAATGCGGTTTGCTGGTGTGAATGCGGTTTGCTGGTGTGAATACGGTTTGCTGGTGTGAATACGGTTTGCTGGTGTGAATACGGTTTGCTGGTGTGAATACGGTTTGCTGGTGTGAATACGGTTT